TCTCGTTCATTTCCTAGATTATTTAGTATTGCAGTTGATAAACACGCCTATGTAGTTGATTGTTATCGTCTTGATAATAGTGGGATTACGTGAGATGTGCACTTTCGGCGCTCTTTTCAGGATTGGGAGATTGATGAAGTATGTGTTTTTTTGGATCTTCTGTATCAGCAGGAGGGTGTTGGCAGAGGAAATGATGATTTGATTTGGGCTCCTTCTTCCCACGGTCGTTTCGAAGTAAGATCCCTATTTTTATGTCTGTCTCATTTTGTTAATTATGTTTTCCCGTAGAAAACTATTTGGCGATCCATGGCTCCAATTAGGGTGGCTTTCTTTGTTTGGACCGCTGTTTGGGAAAATATTTTGACAATTGATAATTTAAGGATAAGGGGCAACTGTATTGTTAATCAGTGTTGTCTATGCAAGAAAGATGGGGAGTCTGTTGACCACCTCCTTATGCATTGCCCTGTGGCGAATGACTGTTGGAATCTTATTTTTGGGTTGTTTGGCATGTGTTGGGTAATGCCAAGATCTACTAAGGATTTGATTCATGTACGGAGAGGTTGTCGCATAAGAAGGGATGTACGCGATTTCTGGAGAGTTATCCCACATTGTGTTTAGTGGTGTATTTGGAAGGAGAGAAATAGTAAAATGTTTGAAGATAAAGAGTCGTCTATGGCAATGGTGAAACATCACATTCTTTGTTCTCTATTCTCTTATGTGAAGAGGAGTTCTTGCTCTTCTTTTGATGATTTAATTAGTTTTTTGGATTCCTTGGGGCCTTAGTCCCAGTTCTATTTCTGTATAAGGGACGCGTTTTGAACACCTTTTTTATATTATTATTACTTATCAAAAAAAAATTATTATTTTAAAATAAAGTTTATTATTTTGAACACTTGGCCGACACATCTTGGACACTTGGTCAACACATTACAGACAACCCACCAACACATCCTACACTCTTCATCTTCTATAAAACAAACACACGACGGTCCTAGAAACAGCATAATGAACATACATCAAAGTATTCAACCTAACAAAACATAACTATAATGACAAGATATGATAGTAATATCATTTATAATATAACATTTTGTTTTATATATTTGAATAGTATCATCTTCAAACTTATGTAACTTTAGCATAGAACTTATAAATTAAAGTTCTATGATTGTCTCATTCAATAGATTATGAATGAAAATTTATATTTATATTAGCCGTGTCCACGCTGTGTTCGTGTCCTACTTTTTTAGGATTTGAATTGTCGGCATATCCGTGTCATATCGTGTCCGTATCCGTGCTTCTTAGAACCTGAAGCTTCACGAGGCACTAGGGCCAAGTAACTTACCCGCTTGAGCCAACCACCCCTTGGGGTTGATACAAGCATTACCATTGTCCAATTCACATATAACATGTCACTCCCTGCTCTAGATCCTAGAATTCATGCACCCATAATCAGAAACTCTTCCTTTCTTCAAGATCAAGGTAATGAAAGAAGTTGCATTTAAAGTGCGCTTGAACCTAACAGACTTGAGGAAATGGTGCACCAATGCCAATACTGCAGCATAAACAATACTACAACAATGTCGAAAGAAAGCCAGGGTCATGCCGCTTGGGTTTAGCACCTTATCCACATACAACTCTTGAGAGATTCCACCAACTGCTCCTCAAAAAAGGGCCTGCCCAAGTGCTCCCCTGTCATCAGTCACTGCTCATGAGCCTCCCAAGTAAAGATTCTCATGTAGAACTGGACAATCCAGTCCACCATCACCTCCCTATCTTGGTTCCTTCCGTCCCATTCAATCCATAATCTACCTTAATGATTGGATCTCCCATGTGAATTAGCTATGCAATAAAAGAATATTGTTCTCTGATCTCCCTCCTCTAACCACAAAGCCATTGATTTCTAACTCCAACTTATCTACTCAAGGCTGAAATATTTGATTAACAAAACATTTATCAGCGTGTAAAACAATTGATGATACCCTTGAATTTCGTCAATATATTGATTATATTAACCAAAAGGCTATATCGATCTTAAGAGATCGATCAGTATCATCAACGATAATTTTCCTCAGCAATTTGGTTAATGTGCAATATAATATATTTCTTGTTTTAAAAGTTAAACTGCATCTATGTTAACCACAGATTTAACTGACATCTTTATCAGCTTTTTAGTCAAATTTTTAATCTTTTCCCTTCACTGGACATTTAATAAAGTATCTGGAGTACAATTTCTTCTTCGGATGCAATTGGTTGTCAAATCCTTCCAACTAACTTCTTTTCCTTTTCTTTAAAATAAACAAGCTTTATTTAGAAAACATCAGATATCTAAGATTAGTTATCCTCCCATGAAAAATGAAAACAAAAACTAACTCTCCATCAGGGCCATCATAAATTCACTAACATTTATTTCCCCCCTCAATAAATATGTCTTAAACCTTTTCCTTTATTTTCTAACGTATCACAATCTTGATTTGGCGAGTTGGTATCCAATACTTTAGGTTGTGTCTCCGCGTTTTAGGTTGTCTGTGAATTTGGGTGGGGGTGGGGGTGGGGGTGGGGGTGGGAGTTGTTTCCTGTCATGCAACTTCATGCTTGTTTCAGAAAGCAAGAATTTATATCGCCTTTCTGTAAATAACTAAAATTCACCAAAAAAAATAAAAAAAAAAAGATCAGAGTTAGTGCAACTCACATTATAGATTGGGGCACAATGATACAGACCAAAAGGTTAATAGTTTCATGAAAACAGTGAAAATCAAAGAAGCAGCCTTCATATTGTCAACTAAAGAAGAATGATCTTAAGTACAGATACCAGAAAATGTTAAGAGTGGTATGTGTTTTAGAAAACACATTCCATAACATGGACATTTTTCTTTCCAGAACAACGATATCAACATGATACCAAAAAATTCCTAATATGGCGGTCAGTATTTCAGAAAACACATTCCGTAACAGATGGGATATGTTTCTTTCTAGATCAATAAATTTAAAAATCCAAAAATTTTCTCTTATTTTTTCTTTATTTTTCTTTTTCATAAGACAAAATGTCGAATTTTGAATAGTGTCCTTATAAAAGAGACCTTTTACACGCGATAATAAAAGGGAAAGTTTATAGCATGTTATATTTTTACGACCTAAGAGTCAGTGTGTTGGCAATTTCTGTGACCAATCGTGTGTTATAATATGTCGATTTGGGTTGCTTTGGTTTAGGTCAGTCTAGATCCATTCATCATCATCCTTGCCTTTATCCTGTACAAACGGGGTTGGCCACTTGGATTCTCTTTTTCCACGCTTTCCGACTAGATTTAATTTTTCAAATCATTTTTTATCATTTCATTACATGTTAGTTTTGGCCTACCACTGTCTCTTCCCTTCTATGCACACCAATCTACCTCTCTTCACGGGTGCGTCTATAGGTCTGCGTTGAATATGCCCATACCACCTAAGTCTACTCTCTAATTTTCTTTCTAATAGGCGCCACACCTAATTTCTCCCTAATCCTTTGATTATTAATCTTATCTTTCCTAGTTTTTTATAGCATCCATCTTAACATCCGCATTTCCGCCACATGGATGCATTGTTCCTATTTCGTTTTAATGCAATCAAGTACTGTTGATTACAAGCATATCACCATGCATTGTCCATGCCATCTTCATTCGTCTTTCACCACATATCTCTCAAATTAACATGCTAATAGATCACCACATATCTCTTCTAGTATTAGTCATGTTATTTTGAGAGATGTGAAAGACAAATGAAGATGGCACGGACAATGCATGGTGATATGCAAATAATGCAATCATCAATACTTGGATCAACATAAGTTTGACCAAGTCCCTTTAGGATTAAAACAGCTAAATTAACTTGATTGACCTTAATGGACTTTCTAGAATTTTGAAAAAGTAAAATCATGTTTCATTCAGACTTGAAAGCGTTAGAGCAAGTCTTGGGTGCACTTGGAGTCGACTACAGTCCGAATTTGACCTATTTGCCTTTCTAGAGTCATAACTAATTCTGTACATGATTATACACTCAAAAAAGTAGACTCAATAAGTTTTCTAACAATACATTGTTCGCTTTATTTCAAGCTTGTTTGACCCCTCAACAAAGTCCCAAAAAAAGGCCTTTTGTGCAAACCTATTGTACCCATAGTTATGCACCAGAGCAAAACACTAGAGAGTTTGGGATTGGCGTAAAAATTTTTGTACAGGTGCATAACACCACTAGAGTAAAAGCAGAAGTTTTCAAGTTCGAATTGGTTTCTAATTCTCCACAGCATGTAAAAAAATTTCCAAATTGATTTCTAATCATTCTAAAACTAGGAGAATGATTTCTGAACCTTCAGAGAAGATCTCTAGTATTTCCATAACAAATATACAACACACAAAAGAGAAATTTAGCATTATTTCATATATATACGTACTTGAATTGTGAGATTTCGAAAGCTTTGTGAGAAACTTTGTTTTCTTTACACAAATAGATTAAGAGAATTTCTGCGAAAACTAACTTGTTTACAATTATTAATAATTCAAGGTTGTTCTAAAAGCACTGATTTAAGACTCAGGAAAACAAATAATTCAAGGGGTCCTCAACTTATTGGTTAGGCTTATTTTCAGGCTCACATTAATTAGGCCTGAATTCCTTCAATCACCACTTTAAAGCTACCGTTAAGGATTTGATTAAATTTGTTGACCCCTAAAAGTGGAAAGGATGTAGAAAGCACGGGACAAACAAGGCTAGTCAAAAAGCCAGTGTGAATAAAAGGAAAATGGTTTATCATCTCAGCCTGCTACAAAAAGAACAAGAGATGCAAAAACCTAAAGGTTCAAGTGAATTATGGTACCAGGACGCAGGTACAAGAGTAAATTTACTCCATTATGGTAGTAACTATAAGAGCATATTATCTATAAAAATAAGATGGCCAACCCACTACGTGTTGAGAAATCTCCAGCCTGTCCAAAAATCTAAAGTAAAGACCAAATTGCAATGAGCAGCCAAACCTTGAAAGGGATGTAAGAGAGCCCCCGAATGCGATCATTTTGCTCCTGAAAGCTCATAACCTTTCCGAAGCTGTCAACAGTAATCTTGAATGTGTTCTCAGAAGACAAATATGGCAATTTATGCTCATCTGGATAACCCTTTATAGATTCTTCTAGTTCCTCGTAGCTACTTCCTTCTCCCCAAAGTTCATAAATCCCCTTCACAAGAATACCTGCAATTTGGAAGTCAAAAAAAAGATGCAATGTCTTTTGCAATTTACTAAGATGGAGTATTGCCGTATGTTTGTAGTTGCATGTTAAAATTGTGAAAATGACAATCTGCAGGTAAACTAGAGAACTCTAGTATTTGGGTGTTGGTGGAACTGGAACTTAAGCCCAGATTAGCAAAAATCCTTTCATAAAGATTGTGAGAAGTCCATATCTCCAAATTTGGGTGTTCATCTACTTTGAACTTGCAGGTCCTATTTCTTTGACTCCTCTAATATTTTCTTTTTGATTTACTTTATTATGCCTCATAGTTGTGTGTTGATTACCTAATTCCTATATTTCTCAAGGGAATGTATAGTCAGATTCGCATTTTACTTTGTATTCTCTACTTTGAATGTGCAAAGTAGAGACCACTAAGCAATGACGGAGCCAGAAAATTATTCGACTGGGGGCGGCTTTGAATATATATAATTTCAAAAAAATCAGCGAACATGGTAAATAGAATAACTTTAACAGTAATTACGTTCTTCACAACAGAGTCGATAGGTTATAATCTCTAGGAAGAAGAGAAGCAGAGAGTGTGAAAACGAGACAGCGAGGTTCGTGAGTGTGAAGACTAAAACGTCAATGGGGACGGGTTTACAAATGGGAGGCTTTAGTAATTATTTTTTGAGGGTATTATTAAGATTTTAATAAAATTATAAGTATAAAATGATAAAATAAATAAATTCGATGGGAGCGGACGCCCCCACTCAGCATAGGGTGGGGGCGTCTCTGCCACCAAGGAAAGAACTAAATATTCTATAAGGAGTAGTTAAATATATTCTTTAAGTGAGAATGAAATGTTAACCAAGCTTATAAAATACAAAGTAAAAGAACAGACAACAAATATATCCCATATGAAGTCAATACACAAAATTACCAATAGAAGATGATGTAATGGTGCTCCTCATACGGCAGCAAGTACAAAAGGGCATTAGCCAACAAAAACTTTTTCCAGCAACATAAAAAAAAAACCTTGAGTCAACGATTCCCTAACTACCTTCTTAACATTCCTTTTGAGAAACAACCAGCCCTCTCTCAAACATAAATGAACTTATACACACTTGATTATTACAAATAATTCAATATATGACCTATTATCAATACACTAGCTTTTCAGAAAGGCAAGCATATGACATCATCACATTTATTTGAAGTTCATAACTACTGCTAAAAATCGTAAATGACATGCCCTAGACTTTGATTACACCACACTCACTAATTTCCCAAATAGCCTTATACAACCCTAAACTTTCAGAACTGTTGCCCATTTCAGCGTTAAGCGCTTGAATATCAGTGCCATGGGAATTTAGGTCCGTCTTGAGTCCTCCCTCCTCAGGCCCCTACTATAGCAACACCAAAACTAAGTAATGTCCCTTTTCCCTATACAACCCTGTAGAAAAAATAGTCCTATTTAAATAGAAATCACATCTCTTTGATCTCAATAACACTTCAGTCCACACCAATAGGCATTAGTCCAGATAATAGCTTGAACTTTCGATAAAAGCCAAAATAAGAATAAATTAAATAAAAAAATAAAAATTTCAGTCCATATCTAATCTTTCGAAATAAGCAGCTGAACACAGAGAGCTAAATAAACCTTTTATCTTATTTTCCAATCATTTTCAAGAAAATCACTACAACCTTTAATATATACTGAAAATTGTGAGAGAAATTGATGAAGGGCTCACTTCGGTTGGCGATTTTGCGGGCAAGGTCCTCAGAAGGAAGATTGACCAGGTGGAACGGAGAATCTGGGTGGTGGTGCTGTGGGAGCCTCCATTCCAATGAATTCTCTTGTGGGTTGCTCTCATAATCGTCGTCTTTGAAGGCACCGAAAAGCTCGGCCAGAGATTCAACTTCGGGTTTCCTGTAATCCAACAATCTGTGGTAGAACACACACAGATACCACATACTTCTAATTCCTCTTTCTTCAGCTCTTGTGTTTTGGCTTTGCTTCTCACGAACGAGGAATGAATGGCTGCGAGTGCTGGGTTTGATGATCAAATATGTATACTGGTAGTGGTGGAGGAAAATGTTGGGTTTACAAGTCGGAACTAAATAACGATGGCCAAAACCCAAAACCCTTGAACCTCAGGCGATTTCCCATTATATTCCGTATTAATTTTTTTTAATTTTTTTTTCAAAAACTTTTATGTTGATTTTTTATTTTTTCAAAGTTTAAGCAAACGCATCAGGTTGATTTCGTGTGGTGTCAAGACACAAGTATTCTTGTGAAATGGTTCGACCCAATTATTAGCTAACCAGTTAATCGGATTATAAACTATTAATAAATCAAACTCAAACACTATATGGATCGATACAATTATGACCCCAAAATAATTAAGTCAAAATTCTAAATTCACTTATTACAAGTCTGTCTTCCAATCGTGTTAACATATCGTACTCAAATATTATCACCTTGTAAAAAACATAAAATCATTTTCAAATAACCTAATTTTTAAAGAATTGTAAAAGAAAATTCTCATAAACCACCTCTTTTTTTTTTCAATGAATTTTTTAGAATACAGTTATCTTTTTGTATAACTGTATAATTTACAATTCTCAAAAAATAAAAAATTGATAATGATACACCAAATAGATTTCTTCATTTTCACATGTGTATGCGTATGTTTGTATGCTAGTGAGAATCGTAATAATGCTTTATGAAATTTATAATTAATAACATCAAAAAAAAATTATTTTAATATAATTTAAATTTGGTGTATAATATCAGTAATAGTATATCAGTAATGATTTTATCTAGAAATTTAATTCATTATTTAGGTCCATATGTGAAATATTTAGAAGAAAATTATAATTGATTTTTATTAAAAATAAATAAATTCGAACAGTAAAGAAGTATGCGTGAATTAGATTATCCAAAGAAAACTTATAAATTCATTTAATTTATGTGTCCTAGATTTCTATAATTGAAATTCATTTTAAATTTATGAGCTTAGATTTCTATAATTGAGATATTATCCAGTTTTGGCAACATACCCCTTTATCTATTTTTTATTTTAATTTTTGACAATAAACACTATATTCTTTTTTAGATTGCTGCAATTATTTCACTTTAATGTCATATGTCTATTAAATGAATGACATAAAATGTTGCACATACCTTTCAAACAAAAAAATAAAATAAAATGCTGCACATGACATGTAAAAATACACGATAAAACGGTTTTACCCTTCCTTAATCAACTTGGGATAACATTTTTACCAAGTACTTGGATTAATGTAACCCTAATATATAACCAAAGCTTTTATACATGTAACGGTAAATTAAAAAAAATAAAAAATAAGAGGGTATTTTTTGGATTTTTGATTTTAGAGAAACTAAGAAAATGACATTTTGCAATTCTAAATAAGTAATAATTACAGGACGGAGGCACATTGAAATCAGTGAGGGCAATTGCCTCCCACTGAATTTTTTTTTTTACTGTTATATACCACTAAGCTTTCTTATTTTCAATTATATACTTTTAAAATTTTCACTTTATCCCCCTAAAATTACAAAAAAAAAATTATACTAAATTCACTTTTTATCCCCCCTCACACAACTTCGTGGATCCGTCCCTGATTAATTACACTAATACCTTATTAAGTTTGGTCAAGTATCATATTGTATTTTTTTTCAAAAATTATTGTCACTCGCATCATAATAACTTTAAAAATATAGTTGAAATGACTCAAATAAGCTTTGATAAATGAGTGTATATTATATATAGATATACAAATAAATAAATATTGCTTCAAATCCCCTCTCTCTCCCACTTACCATGACCCAAATTACTCTCTCTCACTCCTCCATTTCTCTTCTCTCCGATTGTCACCATCGTTGTCATTGTCTTCTCTGCCTACCTCACGTCGTTGTCTTCCAATGATGTCAACTACTCCGATAGTAACTGTACCTTCACCGGCGGGTCCATTAACAACACAACCTACCCATTTACCGACGGCAACCGACCCGACTCTTGCGACCCACGGGTTTTGACTCACATGCCGGGATAACCACATCGAGTTCACCATAAACTCAATCACTTAGGGCCTTTTTAGTAACAGGAATTAATTCCTGATTTATACTGCCAATTCCTAAAATAGGAATCAAAAGTGAAAATCATGTTTAGTAAAATATTTCATTTTCTACTTTCAGGAAGTACTTTTAAATTTTGTAAAGAGAAGAGAAAGTGAGAAATCCTCACTTTCTTTATTTTCTGTACTGTAGCAAGGAATTACTTCCTTTTACTGTAGCACTCAAATTTTTTCACTCTCTCTCTCTCTCAAATCAACAGACCCATAATGATGTTATCACCACCCAAAGTGGAACAGAGATTGCTCCACAAATATGTGAAGATGGAAGAAAGAGAATATGAATCCACCGAGAAAGTCAACATCATCAGAGTTGGCAAGGAAGCAGATGATGAACGATTACAATGTCAAAACGTCGGTGTTTTAATGGCGGAAGTTGTGGCTCTTCATTGGGCTTGGGTTCTTCATGAGCATAGTGTTTCTGGATTTAAGCAATCTGTATGTAGAAGTAGAGAGTATTGACGAATAGGTGTGTCTTGATACCTAAGAAATTATCTCGATTAGAAACAAGAAGCCGGAAATTGACTAGGGTTTGGCAAAATTAGAGATGACACATGAAATTCTTGCGATGCGATCATTTTTGTACGATCCGATCAAAGGCCATGTGAGAAAAGCAATTACCTTGATTTTGAAGATAGGTGAAGATGCGAAGGTTGTGGGTGTGAAATGGGTTCGCCGAAGTTAATTTTTGGTGGTAGGGTTGGATATGGCGGTGGTCGGATGTGTGGTGCTCGTCGTCGACGAGCACAATATCATTGGAAGTCGTCGCCGTTTCAATCTATCTCGTTGTGCTTGTTCAGCATCGTCTTCTTCGCGAGGGTTACAAAGGCAAGGCTTAACGAAGATTTCAGTCACTGTTTTTTAGAGATAGAAATATAATAGGAAAGCAAAATTAAAATCAAAATTATTAAACTAATTTTCTGTTTTTTACTTTCAAAATAGTAAAAATAAAATCTTCTTATTAAATATCATTTTACTTTTTATTTCATCTAAAAAAAAGTAAAATCATAATTTTACTTTTAAGAAAGTAAAAGCGTTAGGCCCTGTTCAGTAGCTGTTTTACTTTAGGTGTTTTTGTTGCAGGGCTTCATTTCAGGCCCAAAACATGTTTGGTGGCTATTATTTTGTTTTAAACAGTACTAAAACATTGTTTTAAACAGTACTAAATTTGGGCCCAAAAGTGAAACACCAAAATGGTGTTTTTTTGTTATTTCAATACTGTTAGCCCAATAAAAGCACTGTAGCGGAGGAAGTAAGTTGTGTCGAACACTGTAGCGGAGGAAGTAACTTTGAAATCCATTTGCAACATTCGGCCCGATATTTTCTCTCTCCTCTGAAACCCTAGACATCTGGTGATTTGGGAGGCGACGAAAACGAATCGCGATATTGACTGTAAGAGCAGCAACCGCCGTGGAGGAAGAAGTAGCAGCAGCCGCCTGTGGTACATTTCTTAAATTATTCTCTATTTTGCACTTTCTTTCATAGCAATGTATTTTTTGTTTTCTCTTTTTAAATTCCTCAATTCAAACTATGGGGCATCTTAAGGCTGTTTTGTGGGAGGTACCTTGGTAATTGGTGAACCCATCTACCGCTGTTTTGATTTAAGTCTAGTTCCGCTTCTTGGTCCTTCGCAGCAGAGATTTTAAAAACCAAAAACAATTTCTATCAAACTTGGTCTGCAAATTTGATCTGTCAACACATAACTCCCATACAAAACCACCCCAAAACAGTTTTGTAAATAAAACCACAAATTACAATTGATTGGAAATATATAAAAGCTAGCCTTCTTACCCTTTTCCTGGAGAAAGTCTTCCTAGTACGATGCATCAATTTTATCAAACAATCATAGATCCTATTACTCTGTGTCAATGTTTAATTATTCAGTGATATCATGTCGTGTTTATATGTGGGCAATCTAATCCCAAATTATGGGATTAAATGTATACTTAATGTCAGAAATGTTGATTTTTTTTCCCCCTCTTTTGTTCCAGAATTTTGTATGTTGTAATGCATTTGGATGTCATAATATACACACACACACATATATATATATACATACATACATATACATACAAGTTATAGGTATAATAAAACTATTAACCATGGTTACAACATATCTTAAAATTAGTACCGCTGGAGCTTTAGTTTATTGAATTTTGTTGGCATATTTTGTTTGGTTCTTCAGTGTTAAGATAGGAATATATTATATTAAATCTTAATGAAGTTATGGGCAACATGTAATGATATATGTATTGAAGAGCAGAAACTGGTATTTGAATCTTTGATTTAAATATTAAATGGGTACTAGAAAAATTAAATAAGTGACACTGGAATTTGAATCTTTAATTCAAATATTGAAATGGTACTCAAACAATTAGTTCATTTTATTATGAATTTTGCAAAATGGCACATGAGCTCAAAATTTTAGGATGTACCCTGAAGTTTTCAGAACATTGTGTAGTACCCTGAAAGGTATAGGGCTGAAGGATTCTAAATTTTTAACTGTATATGAACAAGTGGCAATCTTTTTGCTCACTTTATCTTATAATCAAAGGAATCGTGTTGTAACAGAGAGATTTTAACACTCCACTGAAACCATTTCCAGACACTTCCATGTTGTGTTGCATGCAGTATGTCAGTTGGACACCCATATCATTGCCCCTCCTGATTTTTCTGTGATTCCGAATAAGATTAAAGGGTCTTCTAGGTTTTACCCTTACTTCAAGAATTGTGTGGGAGCTATAGATGGAACCCACATTCCTGCAACTCTGCCAATAGTTACACAACTTCCGTTTTGTGGTAGAAAGGGCCATACCACACAAAATGTAATAGCCATATGTGACTTTGACATGAGATTCACATATGTGCTAACTGGGTAGGAAGGCTTCGCTAATGATTCGGGAATTCTAAAAGAGTGTATTGAGAATGAGGACTTTCCAACTCCACCACCAGGTATTATTATCTTATAAATTCATTTAATGTATAGTTAGTTTATCATAAAGTATATATCTTTATGTATTCTAAACATGGCAGGTAAGTATTATTTGGTGGACTCAGGGTATGCCAATAAGCTTGGTTATTTGGCCCAATTTCGAGGTTATACTTACCACTTTCAGGAATATTGTAGGAGTAGACCACCCCGTGGTCGAGAGGAAGTGTTCAATCATAGGCATTC